CCTGTACCCTCTGTTCCCCCTTTCTCCTTTTCCCTGTACCCTCTGTTCTCCTTCTCTACTTGTTCCTGTACCCTCTGTTTCCCCTCTCTCATTTTCCCTGTACCCTCTGTTCTCCTTTTCTCCTTGTCCCTGTACCCTCTGTTCCCATTTTCCCTGTGCCTTCTGTTGCTTTGCTCTCATTCTTCCTGTACCCTCTATTTTCTCTCTCCCTGTGCCTCCCTACATCTCACATTCTCCCTGTACCATCTCATACCTCTCTTTTTCTCCATTTCATTTTCTTTCTCTCTGTGCCCACTGGTCTCTCTTTTTTTCCTGTGCCCTCTGTTGTCTTCCTCTTTTACTCTCTCTCTTTCCCCGTGTGCCCTTTCTGCTCTCTCCCTTTCTCTCTTTCTAGTCATCTCTATGCCCTCTGATCTTTTTTATATTTTCTCTCTTTCTCCCTGTGCCTTTTACCTCTCTGTTTCTTATTGCATTCTGTTCTCTCTCTTTCCAATTCTTTCTGTTCCCTCTTATTTTTTTTAGTGCCCTCTTTTTTCTCTCTATCTCTCTCATTCTTTTGGTGCTCCCTTCTTTCGTTCTCTATCTCTGTTATTCCTATGTATTTTGCTATATCCGTCTTATTTTCCCTGCGTCCTCTTCTTTCTCTATCTCTCCTTGTGCCCTGTGCCCTGTGCTCTCTCTTTTCTGCACACTCTGTTATCTTCTCTCATTCTTCCTCTTCCCTCTCTCACTTTCTCCCTGAGCCCCCTGTATTCTCTCTCTCTCATTATCCTTTTGCTCCTTCTCCCTTTTTCCCTGGGCCCCCTGTACTCTTTCCCTCTCATTCTCCCTGTGCCCTCTCTCTTTTCTCTCTCCCTTTTCCCTTTCTCTCTCTTTCTCCCTGGCTCCCCTGTACTCTATCTCTCTCATTCTCCCCATGCCCTCTCTCTTTCTCTCTCCCTTTTTCCCTCTCTCTCTGTCTTTTTCTTTGGGGCCCCTGTACTCTTTCTTCTTATTCTCCCTGTTCCCTCTCCCAATTTTTCCCTTTGCCCTCTCTCTATTTCTCTCTGGTCCCCTGTACTCTTACACTCTCATTCTTCCTTTGCTCTCTCTCCCTTTCTCCCTGGGCCCCCTGTACTCTCTCCCTCTCATTCTCCCTGTGTCTCTCTACCCTCTCTACCCTTTTCTCCCTTTGCTCTCTAGGCCCCCTGTATTCTCTCCCTCTCATTCTTCCTGTGCCTTCACTCTTTCTCTCTCCCTTTTCCCTCTCTCTCTCTTTCTCCCTGGCCCCCTTGTACTCTCTCCCTGTCATTCTCCCTGTGCCCTCTCTTTCTCTCTCCCTTTCCCTCTCTCTCATACTTGTCTTTTTGTTCTCTCTCTTTGTTGCCTTCCCTCTCCAGTTTACTATCACTATCTTTCCTTTTTTCCATTTCTCCACCTCATTGTTTTTTTTTTTCACCTTCTCTGGTGTATTTGCCCCACTTTTGTTTTACCTCTCCCCCTGTTCTGTTCCTCTCCTTCTATCCCATTCCTAAATCTTTCCTTCAAATCCCATTCCATCTCTATATCCTCCCCTGTCATTCTTTTGCTTTTCTTCACTCTTCTTCTCTCTTTCCTTTTTCTTCTCCTTTCTCTGACCTCTCCCAGGTGTGTCCAGCTGCAGCTCCTGCCAGTAAGCAGTCCACAAGTCCACGCAGGAACCCAGTGGGTAGTTCCAGTCCTAGGCCCCCTGCCCTCAGCTCCCTTGGCTTCATTCATGCATAGCGCTCCTCACTTCAGCTCCTGCAAAAAAAAAAAAAAAATACAGATCGTGCTGCAGCCCAGAGCACACATGTGTCGCAGCAACCCGGAGCCTGGTGTAGGGGAGAAAAGTGGACAGACCTCGCTCTGTCGCCTCCTTTGTCTATCTGTTCATCTCTTGTCCAAGAAGACAACGGGACGAGCCCCCTGCATCTGCCACGACCATCCCTGGGTTTTGTGCCACAGCTAGTTGATTAGCAATCACATTCAAAATAACTGAAAAAAAAGAAAGAAAGGAAAAAAAGTCAATGTATTGTGCAGTATCCCCTGTGCCTGCACGCTGCACCCACTCTTCCCACCGCTTTATACTTTTGTCCTAAATGAATAATCTTAATTGCATCACTCTGGGATTAAAAATCAATGTTAATCAAGCGCAGACTTGTAAATAGCTGCCTGCATTGTGCACCAGTGCTCCATGTTTTTCCTCTTTTATCTCCTTGTTGTGCAAATAAAAAGAAAGAGACAAGAAACATCAACTCAGATAACTTGAAAAGGGCATTCTGCTCTGCCTCAAACACAATTGAAACGGATTGTTTGCGAGCCCATCAGAAATGGTTCAGAATTTTGCACTTAATTTCCCCACTTATCATTTACAATAAGAAGCTCTTGGCTTTGACAGCCAAGTCTAAACAGTAGTAAATTAGTACAAATTTATACTGATTTTACTCTAATAATCGTAATAAAAGCTTATAGATTTGGCACTAATTACATAAATGCCTAATGATCTTGAAAATTACTCTGGTTAGAAATATATTGCTAATCTAAACTTTGTTGTTGGCTGGGTTTGAAAAATCAGAGCATTAGAGATGGTTCACTTGCCTTGTTAGGAGCACTAGAGATTGCTCCTGCACTCTTAACATATTCAAATGAAAATAAAGAACATTTACCTCTATTTACTGCATGAAATCGCCTTTGTAGACGGGAGACGGACTTAAATACCTCAGCTAGAAAATTGTGCCATGATTTACCATCAAGAATACAGGGGAGATGATCGCACTTTCTTTCCCAGGATTGCATCTGTTTTAATACAAGTACAAGGAGATGCTTGTAGAGGAATATTCAGTTTACTGGCGCTCGGTCATGTGAAATGGGATTTGTGGATGGGAAAGCGGACCGTACAATATTTAGAAATAAATGTACAGAAAACAAATACATAAATCATCCTCCACTGTAAGGCCCTGAATTAGAGGGGCTGAAGGGAATGGCTCGTGCAGGGCAGCAAAAATGTCGTTTTCTTTTCAATGCTTATACATCACACCTATATATTCATATATATCCATATCCAACAACCACTGTATGGGAGCCACCCCAAGAGCTGACCTCTACCAACCACTACCCCACCAAGTACATCCATGGAACCGGAATTGTATGTGTCTTCAATGCCTGGAGCTGAACTTGGACGTCTGTATCGAAGCTGATTGCCTATCGGCCATTAGATGCGGCGGTTAAATGATGCGCTAAATTTTATCTATCAGACCTTATTTAACCCTTCCGGAGCCTTCCGTATGTTAACCACAACAGTGCTGTGAACTGAAGCAAAATGGAACAAAATCTGATTGATGTAATCTCCTCTCACTGGTCAAGAATAAGGAGATCTCTAACAAGTTTAAAAGAACACAGAACACAATGGAACGTATTTTCTGTGTTTATTTTATTTATTTTTTTATTTATTCCAGAACACTATAGCATATAACATCGAAATAAGAACACTATTATTATTATTATTATTATTATTATTAATAATAATAATAATAATAATAATATCAGTAATAATATTAATATGTGACCAACATGTTCCAGCTGATATATATATATATATAGATATATATATATAGAAATGTATAGCATATAATAGCAAAATAGTAATGGAAATAATAACAGCGATGATACAACCACTGTGATGTCAATAATAATAATAAAAAGTATTGAGTTTAAATAATAATGCCATAATAACATATCCGCAGTACCAACTGATGTAAGTACAAATAATGCTACTACTAATGATAATAATAATAATAGAACAATAACAACACAGCCACAGTCGTGTCAATAATAATAATCATAATAACATATCTACAGCACCAAATGATGTAGATGCACCAATTTTAATAACAATAGTAATGAAATAATTATATCAATAACACAGCCACCGTCGTGACAATAATAATAATAATAGCATTAATAATCATACTATAATTACATATTACAGCTTCGACTGTTGTAAGTGCAAATAATAATAGTAGTAAGGTAGTAATAAATAATAATAATAGCATTAATAATCATACCATAATGACATATTACAGCTTTAACTGGTGTATGTGCAAATATTAATAGTAGTAAGGTAATAATAACAATAATAATATAATAATTAAAAAAGTATGTAGAAATAACAATAATAATAATATTGTTAACACTACTACAACAACTAATAATAATAATAATAAACAACAATAATAATAATAATAATAACAATAATAATTTTGTATTATTATTATTATAACAATGACAATAATAACAATAATAATACTAATTATTATTATTATTATATTATTGTTGTTGTTATTATTTTATATTATATATTTATAATAATAATACTAATTATTATTCTTATTATTCATACTACTACTAATAATAATATCATTCTTATGTTACACACATTACAAAAACATTGGGTTGTAGCAGTGGGTACAGGAACTGTTATTTGCTTTATTAGTGGCTGCATAGCAGTAGCTAGGATGAGAGAATTGAAGATTTGCATGGTATGAGAGGCAGCCCAGGTATAAGTCCAGTTTGCTGACACCAGTGGTAGTAGGTGATGACAGCTTGTGGGACTAGGTGTCAGGATCCATGGAGGCAGAGGGCTGCAGGGAGGACACCCAGGACCCCCCCCCCCCCCCCTCTCTTCCCCTCCCCCCACCCCCTGCACTCACACTCAGCCTGTAGCAGCAGCAGGGGGACCAGCAGTGGATGGTGAGCCGGTGACATTTGCAGCTCGCTCTGTGATTGGTCGGCGGTGGCAGCCGCTCAGCAGCTCACCCAAGCACTAAGCACCTCCCCGCCTCTCTAAAGGACATTATAATGCAGGGGACCCCCTTTTTAAGCACAAACCGAATTTTCTTTCATTTAGCTTATCTATATCTATCTATCTATTTTTATTTTGAAATCGTTAAGCAGCCGGCAGGATTTGGGGGGGACAGGCTTTCGCCCTGGAGCGGTGCGCGATGCTGTCTCACGCCGACCTCCTGGACGCCCGACTCGGTGAGTCTTTGCCACCCTTCTCCTCCCCTCCCAGGAAAAAAGCGTCAATTTGTCCCTGATTCCGCCTTAATGCACTCTAAATGGGCTAATTCCTTCTAAAGTAATTGTGTAGTATTAAACTTTAATTTGATTTAACTGCAGTCTTTGAATACATGGAATCTGGACATCCAAGGAAGAGGGATGTCATTAGATTTAGCCAGAAATAACTATTTACTTCAGACCTTGTGGGGTTTTTTTTTTTTGCTTTTTTTTTTTTTTTGCTTTGAGATGATTTGTTTGGTGATCTGAGTGTTTGCCTCCTTCTCCTTCCTGCATGTGGGTGAAGTGTGGACTTTGCTGTGGGAATTGCAGGCAATCCAGACTGCCTCTGGGAAACTTTGTGGAGTTGGCAGAGTTTTTTCTTTTTTTTTGTGAAACATGCAAAGAGCAAATATGTGAGGCTGGGTGACCAGTATATGCCAGTCTGCATCACCAGCCCGATGTATGGTCATCGGTTCTATTTGTAGGACACCTGGCTGACCACTGTCCTCCAGTCTGCCTTACCAATCTGATGTATGGTCACTGGTTCTACTTGTAGGGCACCTGAGTGACCAATGTGTTCCAGTTCTTCTTACCAATTCAATGTATGGTCACCAGTTCTACTTGTAGGACACCTAGGTGACCAATGCGGTCCAGTGTGCCTTACCAGACAGATGTATGGTCACTGGTTATACTAGTAGGGCACCTGGGTGACCAATGCACTCCAGTCTGCCTTACCATCCAGATGTCTGGTCACTAGCTATAAAAGTAGGGCACCTGGGTGACCAATGTGGTCCAGTCTTCCTTACCATCCAGATGTATGGTCACTAGTTATACTAGTAGGGAACCTGGGTGACCAATGCGGTCCAGTCTGCATTACCATCCAGATGTATGGTCACTGGTTATACTAGTAGGACACCTGGGTGACCAATGCGGTCCAGTCTGCCCTACCAGCTTAATCTATGGTCTGGGGTTCTACTTGTAGGACACTTGGGTGACCAATGTATGCCAGTCTGCCTTACCAGACAGATGTATGGTCATTAATTCTACATGTAGGGCACCTGTGTGACCAGTGAGTGCCAGGCTGCTTACCAGCCTGATGTATGGTCACCATATCTACTTGTAGGGTAACTGAGCAGTGGTGCAGATAGATGGAGAGGGATTCTAGCTCCTAAATTGCATTTTATATATGTGTGTGTGTGTGTATAGCTGACAAGCAAAGCTATTCTGGGTGTTAGTAAAGCCCTGCCATACTAGGATCTGCCCAGGCTGTGTGCTACTATATGTATGGCAGCTAAGTGGCATTGTGGGGGTGCCCTGATGGTAGGATCTGCCCTGTGTACTATATGTATGGCAGCCATGTGGCATTGGGTATCAGGTACATGGGGGTGTCTTGATGGTGGAATCTGCCCTGGCTGTGTACTATATTTATGGCAGCCATGTGGCACTGGGTATCAGGTAGATGGGGGCGCCTTGATGCTGGGATCTGCCCTGACTTTGTGCTATGTATATGGCAAATATATGGCATTGGGTATTAGGTAGATGGGGGGTGCCTTGATGGTGGGATCTGCCCTGACTGTGTACTATATGTATGGCAGATATGAGGCATTGGGTATCAGGTACATGGGGGTGCCCTGACTGGGTACTATATGTATGGCAGCCATGTGGCATTGGGTATCAGGTAGATGGGGGCGCCTTGATGGTGGAATCTGCCTTGACTTTGTGCTATATGTAAGGCAGCCATGTGGCATTGGGTATTAGGTAGATAGGGGCGCCTTGATAGTGGGATCTGCCCTCACTGGGTGCTATATATATGGCAGTCATTTGTGATTGGGTATCAGGTATTTGGAGGCACCTTAATGGTGGGATATGCCCTGGCTGTGTACTATATGTATGGCAGCCATGTGGCATTGGGTATTAGGTAGATGGGGGCGCCTTGATGGTGAGATCTGCCCTGTGTTCTATATGTATGGCAATTATGTTGCACTGGGTATCAGGTAGATGGGGGCGCCTTGATGGTGGGATCTGCCCTGTGTTCTAAATATATGGCAGCCATGTGGCATTGGGTATCAGGTAGATGGGGGTGCCCTGATGGTGGGATCTGCCCTGGCTGTGTACTATATGTATGGCAGCCATGTGGCATTGGGTATTAGGTAGATGGGGGTGCCCTGATGGTGGGATCTGCCCTGTGTTCTATATATATGGGAGCCATTTGGCATTGGGTATCAGGTAGATGGGGGTGCCCTGATGGTGGGATCTGCCCTGGCTGTGTACTATATATATGGCAGTCATATGGCATTGGGAATCAGGTAGATGGGGGCGCCTTGATGGTGGGATCTGCCCTGTGTTCTATATATATGGCAGTCATGTGGCATTGGGTATCAGGTAGTTGGGGGTGCCCCTATGGTGGGATCTGCCCTGGCTGTGTACTATATGTATGGCAGCCATGTGGCATTGGGTATCAGGTAGATGAGGGCTCTCTGATGGTGGGCACAATCCAGTGCCAGTCATGACCTCCTTTCTATTCCTCCTGTACAGGGATGAAGGACGCGGCTGAGCTGCTGGGGCACCGTGAGGGGGTGAAGTGCCGCCTTGGAGTCGGGGGGTCGGAGCCCGTACACCCGGGGGATCTGGCCAGCAACTCTGACCAGGTGGAGGGCACCACTCTGCTGCCCGGAGAGGACATCACCAGCGTGGGCTCCAACCAGTCCTCCCTGGCCGTCAGCTCCAAAGATCCGGACAAGCAGCAGCAGAACCCCAACCAATCGGGCCAGCAGCAGAGTCAGAGCCAGAGCCAGCAGAAACAGAAGAGGCATCGAACCCGCTTCACCCCGGCTCAGCTCAACGAGCTGGAGAGGAGCTTCGCCAAGACCCACTACCCAGATATATTCATGAGGGAAGAGCTGGCACTGAGGATCGGCCTGACAGAGTCCAGAGTGCAGGTAAGAGGGCATTGGATGGGCACCCACCCACACTCACCAGATGATTCCACAATGACCAACATCCAACATTTCTTCTATAACTACTGCAGAAAAAAACTCATATAGATCTGCCTATATACAATGAGTACGATTTACTAAAGACGTGGAAAATCATCACTGAAAAATGTGTGAATATTCACTTTTCACTTTAATTATCCAATCATGTGAACGCCTCGGCTTATGATTGGGCAGGAATTTGCTGTTCACAGTATTGAATAACTGAAAGCAATATTCGTTCAATGTATTGTGTACACATCCTTAACCCCGATAGTGAATCGTCCTCGTTATATTATATGCAGATATACCAAGACTTCTGTGGGGCTGATTTACTAAAGGAACTGGAAAATATTTTTAAATGTGTGAATATTCACTTCAATTATCCAATCATGTCAAAAGAAAAGGTTTTCTTTACCTTTTCGTGTGATTGAATATTCAAAGAATAGGAATTTGATTTTCGCACGATTGGATAATTGAAGCGAATATTTACACAACGTATGGAGGGAGGATTTAAAGATTTGGAAACCCTTTAGCAAATCAGCCTCCATGTGTGTGATAGGTCCTGCAAATTACATGGAAAATATATTATTTTTAGGATCTGTTTTTATATAGGATATGAAGAAATACTATTCTTAGCATCTAAAATCTAAAATCATACATACACACAGGTCTATCTGTCGTCCTATCTATCTTTACACAGAAATACGTAAAGATAGATGGATAGATAGATATAGATAGACAGATAGAAGATAGATTTTTATAACACACACATACACTATAATATATATATATATATATATATATATAAATATATATATATATATATATATACACACACACACATATACATATGTGCATTGGAAAGGGATCCTAAAAAGATTAAAAAAAAGCTGTTTTCCGTATTTTTTTCCTCAATGCGCATTTACAAACATGTTCTGAAAATGATTACCATTCTATTTATGTATACAGATCTATATCTATATATCCGTTCATATAAATGTTACAGATGACAGGTCAGTTGATAATGTATATTATCGGTTGTCCCGTCGGGCACTGTATACACTGTGTTGTGCGCTGTCCGCGGTGCTGAAAACATCCTCTTCTACACATCACACACCCTGAAACAATTTTTTTTTGTACTGGATCCATCTGAATTATATTTTCACTTCTTATACATTTATATATTTTGTTTCATCAATTTTTGTCACTCAATCTACAGACAATTATTTTGCATTCAATTAAATTTGAGTATCTTTTATACTGAAAAATAAAGAAACATGCCAGCAAGTACACCTTCTAGCTACATAGGTGGACTTTTCAAACAAATCCTATAATGAATAATGGGTGCTACCATTCAAAATCATTGAATGACCGATACGTATTTAGGAATAGAATCTTACTTAAAACTCGGAACTCATTTAATTGGCTGTTTCTTCTTTAATTTTTTTTCAGTTTTCATATTTCTTTCTCCCTATGTGGTAGTTTCTAAAAGGAAGCCTGGGTGTAATGACCCGGCAAGTAAATGACAGTCTGATGAATAAATCCATTGTGGCTGAGTAGTAATAGAGGGGAAAGCTCATTTTCTTATTGGTGTGTATTTACAGTGTGTTATGAAGCTGTGTAATGAGGAGATTGTATGAGAGGAAGTCGGTGATGTGTATGACCCCACAGGTGCGATGGCCGGAGGGCTCTCCTCTTACCAGCATGCCGCTGAACAGATTGCCTGGCATTTCATAGCTGTAGATAGACTTTTATCTCCCGATTTCTTCTGAAAGTCCAATAAAGGAAGAAGGCGAGCGGTGAGAGCTGTAAGAAAATGATGCAGTGTTATTAGCGGCAGATTATAGAGCAGACTCCCATTAAAAATAATAATCCGGAGATTTATCCTCCCGGCAGCCCGGCTCCGTGCCCGCCAAGCTCTGCTATACCAGCTATAAAAGCCATTCCGTTTATAGCTCGCCATTATTAGAAACCAATTCCAGTATTATTTATAACCCGGGATGGCTTATTAAGCAGCAATGTGAAAATCATGCAAATGATGCGATCAGATGCAATATAATAAGCATAATCATTAGTCTCTCGCACGGATTAATTAACTTTCAATATTATATTTACATAAAAAAAATATATCAGTGGGAAAAAAATATCCAAAGCGCATTTTGATTTCTCTTCTTATAATAGTACAGGAGGGCCCCGGATTGGGTGCTGACAGCAGCGGGGGCCACAGTGTGTGTGTGCATGGGGAGAGTACCAAACGGGACGTGCAATTTACATACACAGCCATGTAACATATAAAAATATAGCTATAGGAAGGTAACAATACATATTTATTGATGAATACCGTACACCGCAACTTCCATACGGAATACACGCTGTCATCTGTACAGTAATGGCCTTTGTATGTGCATTGTAAATCAACACACACAAGTACAGTACACTACAGAAGTACACAAACAGACACGCCTATATTTGTATTACAGACAGACATATATATATATATATATATATATATGTGTGTGTGTGTGTGTATATATAAACCTTGTGTGCACATCATCTAAAATCAATGTACACATACATAAAATATATATATATATATATATATATATATATATATATATATATATATATGTGTGTGTGTGTATATTCTATCTATCTATCTATCTATCTATCTATCTATCTATCTATCTATCTATCTAGCTAGCTAGCTAGCTAGCTATCTAGCTATCCACACACACATAGACACACACAAACACATAGACCTACACACACATATAGACCTAGACTTATATGTATGTATGTATATATACACTCACACATACATTTCTAAACACACACTCTGTGCACGCACATAAAACCACACACAAACACACAATTAGACGTACACACCCCCCCTCTACAGGCACATGTAAAAACACACACACCCCCTGTACACATACCCTGCACACACACATATAAACACACACTCATATTTAGCCGGACACATATAAACTTACACACGCAGCAAAAGCAAAACAAAACAAAACAAAATAAATAAATATATATATATATATATATATATATATATATACACACACAACACGCACACACACAAACACACACACACACACACACACACACACATATATATATATATATATATATATATATATATATATATAGCCGCACATATATACCTAAACACACAGACACACAACATGTAATATATATCGATATATATCTCCACACGTATATACCTATACACACACGCACATCTATATATACCTACACACAAATATACCTACACACACACACATCTATATATATCTCCACACACAAATATACCTACACACACACATCTATATATACCTACACACATATATACCTACACACACACACATCTACATATATCTCCCCACACAAAATATACCTACAACACACATCTATATATACCTACACACACACACACATCTATATATATCCCCATACATATATTCCTACACACACACAGGCACATCTATATATATATCCCCACACATATATACCTAAACACACCAGACACACACACATGTAATATATATCGATATATATCTCCACACGTATATACCTATACACACACGCACATCTATATATACCTACACACACAAATATACCTACACACACACACACATAATATATATACCTACACACACATATATACCTACACACACACACACATCTATATATACCTACACCACACACATATATATATATATATACCTACACACACACATCTATATATATCCCCACACATATATTCCTACACACACACACACACACACACACACACACACACACACACACACAGGCCGAGCTATGGCTTGCATGCATTCTGGGGCCTCTATGTGGAATGATCGTGTCATCTGGCACATCTTAATAGGGGACAGGCGAGGAGTTTCTCTCCGGCTTTCTAATGGAATGGAGAGATTGCTGTGTTCTCCCTCTCCCGGCACTATTAACGTGTAATGAATTCGGCCCCGAGTTCACGGATGGCTGATCGAAATGAACCTCAGATCCCAGCTTTAATACAACTCTCCAGATCTCCTACCAAATCTTCACATTAATCATCTCCAATAGTGAGATTGCAATGAGGTCTTTATAAAGGTTGTCTGTAGGAAAGAAGAAATGGCATCCCTGTGTGTGGACTGCTCTTCTCCTGCTCCATCTCTGGCCCATCCGCAGGGCAAGAATTAAACGCCTAATATATTTTCAAATACCTTTCCAGTATGTCTATATTATAGCTCGTCTCACGCCTGGCACTTAGTTCCAAAGAATTAAGGAGCCTCTGTTGCAAAACCGGGCCTCACATTTCTACAGTTATTTTAATATCCCCTTAAATCTGGAGGAAAAGTCACAGGAGGTAAACGTGCTTCTATGTACCAGGACACCTGGCCCTTTTCTCATTGTAGCCCTGGCATTGACTCTGAGGAGAATTTGGCCAGAATATTATATTATCATGTATTTGTTTAAACCTCCCTAATCATAAGGACAAAAATAAGAATTAATATTTCTATGCTGTCCCCAGTTCCTTATGTCTGGACCCTGTTCCTAAATTTGGAAAAAATGTAATATTTGTAACCACATTTTTGTCAAGTACTTCAGTCACTTGGGAAGTATTACATATCCCTTTCTCTGAGATACACAAGACCAGCTAACATTTTTCTAGAACACAATTGGGCATTGTTTATAAAGAACACACACACACACACACACATATATATATAAAAATACAATTTATTTATTTAGAATTAGTGCATAATACCCAGAGTCTTTTTTTCTATTGAAGCAAATATGAAATATTATTTATTTGAGCAGTTTGTGCAACCTTTATAAAATGCTGCTGCAAAACATGGGATGCAAAATTTGGCCAACGGGTATTTAAACATCCCTGGTACAAACATCAAGACTAGAATTCCAAGGAAAATACATACCTGTGCCATTTACTTTGAGTTTTGCTATTCTAGGTCTCATGCTGTTTATTTAGTTCTACTACAAAACCTGGGCTAACATTATCATCATACCTATTTAAAGGGCTCTAAGTCGAGGGATGCCTAGCTGTATCCATCTGCAATGGCATCCTTCCCATTCCCCACAATAAGATCTGTCTCCAGCTCCTCACATAATACTTAGGCTGGAGCTATTCGCGCTGATGTTTAATGCCTGTGCTATCAGCCCTGATGGATGTGCAGAGCAGCATCTCTAGTAAAGCATGACACATAAAATGATATTTTGTGTCTGCAATTCTAGCAATCACCCCAACATAATGGAGCAAAGTTCTCTATTATTCATGGAATGTTTACATCCTTAATAGCGCCTAGATTTCTTTAATGGCTGACAATAATTCTTTCTTTCTTGTTCTCAGAATGTGTCATTAAATACAGCAATGGCAACACAAATGCACAATTGTACTAGAAATTCAGTATTAGCCAGATGCTGGAGGGGAGCTCATAGACTCAAGTGCATACGTCACTGATTACATGAGAGAGGAATGAGAGCAGAGAAGAATGAGATGGGCTTTCAAATAATTCTATTGTTGCTCTTGTTTAAGGTGTAGGATTGCGAGCCTAATTCACAATATAAGTGTAAATAATCTCTACTATTCTTGGGGTTCATTGCGAATTATCATTAGAAACGGAAGGGTTCACAAGAGTAGGCAAATAATATACTTAGATGTCATCTGCAAATTCTGCTAATTCAGGGTATATTATAAAAATCTGTTAAATTGTCCAAACAGCAAATTCCTTATATCCTTTTTCCTTACCCATGAATTGTTCCAAAAATATTTAGACACAGATGCAGGTATATTGTCAAAATCTACCGAAATAAGATGCACTATAAATATATATATAATATAATTTAATTATATATATATATATATATATATAAATATATATATATTATTTATATAATATTTATATATGGTGTATGTATATATATATATATATATATATATATATATATATATATAAACCATATATAAAAACACCATAAATATATACATACTATTAATAATAAATATATTATATTACATGATATGATAATCTCTCTATATAGATTATGTATTATATATATATATATATATATATATATATATTTATTTATCTGTATATATATGTCTTTCCTCTAATCATTAAGCTTTTCGCTTGCCCAACTGTTTTGCATGGCAAATACAAAAAATGCAATCTTTCTTAGTGGAAATAATGACAACGTAAATAACAAATACCACTCGCGAATTTTCGTCGTTAATTTTCAGAAATTTTCGAATTCGGTTAAAAAATGTGTTTTGCATGGCAGAATAGAATCAGGCTTGATCCATCCTTGTCAAATTTTGGTTTTGTAATATCCTTCTATAAATCAGTAAAGCCTACGGCGATACTATACGAACTATTACTGTGCTAAAAAAAAAAAATAAAATACAGTAGAAACAGAGACAGTATAGCAAGTCAAGGGAGCCTTCACCATTTTTTTTAAATAATTTTTTTTATTATATATATCGTGAGCTGCAAAAGAATAATGATCTATAGGATAGGTATATCCATTTCTTTTTATATTACTCATGTGTTTCATCAATCTTTTTAAATTCTGTTTGGCCTTTGAGTCCATGAATACCTCCTGACACTACAAGTCCCAGCACACAAAATATTGATAGACATGGAGGCTGATTTACTAAAGGAGTCGAGAATCACAATAAATTGAGTGAATATTCACTTGAAATATATTTCATGCGAAAAGCACATTTCTAAACTAAAAATCATATTCATTGTTTCATCTGCACATGAATAGCAATTTGCTTTTCACACAATTACATAAATAAAATAAATAGTCACACGATTGTGTGATGCTTTTTTTTTAATTCATATCAGCCCAGTTATGTGCCCATATATAAAATGTATGTTAGGTATAATTCCGTCTATGGGTATATTGTACCAAGCAGCGCAAACCAGCGCATCAGCAAGACAAGAAAAAACACGCCCATTGGAGAATGATTTCATTGATAGATCGGGTATTGGTTATTTTCGTTTCTATTGCTATTTATTTTGAAAGCAAAATCTGCAGATTTGTTTCCTGTGCTTTTCAGAGGTTAGAATGTTGGAGGGGGACCTTGCTCTTCAGATTGGGAAAGATGATTGTCCTCATATCAGATGACTGTGCCCAGCACAGGTCAAATGTATTCATGAGATCACAATGAGAGAGAATTCAGTACGTGTGCCCCTGTGCCCCCCTACATATATCAATGAGTGAGGTGCCCATCAGCCGGCCATAGACGCCCTCAGGAGGAGCCAGGACAATGCAGGGTGAGCAGAGGGGAAATGAGAATTGGAGGGAGGCAAGAGACAAATATCAGCTCCACACCTCTCTCTGCATTAATATGCTTCCAAATGAATACAGTAAAAATCTACTAACACCATGACTACCAATCATCATTATGTAAACTGATTATGATTGATTATATTTGATGAACGCGAATTATCCGATAGCATAACAGAATTTAATTATTTCTCACTCTCAAATACAGAGTCCAGGATTTCACACGCAAGAGACACATACCTATAAGAAGAGTAAAATGTAGTCACACAGCGCCGGCGGGCTTTTAATGTCATTTATTATTTTAAACAAAAGCAACATTGTGCTCACCGATAACTGTTGTATGGAGCCTAGGCACGAGAGCCAGGCGCTGTCCAGTGCTGAAATCCCTTCAACGACCAATAGGAGACTATTCTAGGGCTCGGCTCTTATTTTCTGATCAGTCTAACTGGTCAGGGAAAAAAAATCAAAATATTATGCTACATACTACAATATGTAGTTATAATATAAGCGCCAAATTTATGATTTAAATATAAAATATATTCTTCTTTCAATGTAAGTTTCCAGTGTTAGATCTTGAATTGTAGTAGCATCTTCATTTTGTTACCGTTTGCACCATTTTATTATTGCAATGGCATATTGGACCTGTAGTTTAAATTATTTTTTAGGGGCTGATCAGTTGTTCATTTTTTTTAAATTATTTAAATAAATGCAGTAAGGTTTATTTATTAACGGCAAATAGGCTGTTTACATTCAATGGGAATTTATACTTTGCAAGGGAATGTATCCCTAGCTTAGTGAAGTGATGTTCTGTTGATTTCCATAATTTATTCATGTACAAACAAAACTACTGCTTTTTTAAGTAAATATTTTCCTGGTACATGGCTCAGTACACTTTGCAAATTGAATTTTCACCACATTCACTAAGCTAAGGGAAAATTCCCTTGCCAAGTTAACAGCTTATTTGCTTTTAGTGGCACAAACCATTTGTGGTAATGGCAATTAGTAATAATAATAGATCTCTCAACCCCCCCCCCCCCCAAAAAAAAAAAAAAAATACATTTTTTTCTTTTAAAAAATAATGAAAAAAAAAAATATATATTTATTTATTTATTTATTTAGTAAAAAAAATATATATATACACACGCACACACACACATATTCATGCATATATATATATATATATATATATATATATATATATATGTGTGTGTGTGTGTGTGTGTGTATAGGGCCAGATATAGACCTTGTGGTCTTGGTTTACATTCTCAATGACAGTCACACATTTCCATAATGCATGACGCAACATCATTCTGAGGTCACACGTGCACACATGCACACACGCACACACACTGTCATAGGTCACATTGTGCTCTAAGGGTTGATTTATTAAAGGAAAATAGACTGTGTAGACAAAATTCAGGTGCACTCATCTTCCCCAGACTTTAGTAAATGTGGTAAAGCTCTGCTTATTTCCATCATCCAATTATGTGCAAGCAAAAATAATATTTAAACTTTTCCTTGCACCTAACTGGGTATTGTTTACAAAGTGAAGCTTTACCACATTTACCTTTACTAAGAATAAAGAGTGCCACTACACTTGCAGAGTACATTGTCTATTTGCCTTTAGCATATTAACCCCATTGTGTGCTTTGCTTGAGCTGATAAAATTAATTTTAAAAATGATACAATTTACCAGTCCAGAGTAAAAACATTTACGGATGATGGCCCACAAAATATTATTTCCAAAAAACAAAAAAAAACAAAACAAAACAAAATAAAGTATTTTTTATTATTATACATTTTAGAACATGTTTTTATTATTTATTTATTTGTTTTAAATATTGTTTCATATTATTTTTGCAAGAAGGGGGTATCCTCTGTCAGGGGGCCCAGGACAGTTACCCCTTTTGCCCCCATATAAACCCGGAACTGTATTTATGTGTATAGTGTGTGTATTGACAATGCAGTATAAGAGGTTTACCATGTGTTTCCATTTGTTCAGCAGGCATTAGTCATGCTCTCACATTTATTTTCATGTAGGAATAAAGCAAAGCATACTGATCTCAAAGTTTTATAGCCAAAAATGAACTAATGCCTGATTTTTGTTGTGTCTTCTAGGTCTGGTTCCAGAACAGGCGTGCTAAGTGGAAGAAGCGTAAGAAGACCACCAATGTATTCCGTGCCCCTGGAACTCTGCTGCCCACACCAGGATTGCCCCAGTTCCCATCAGCAGCAGCCGCTGCGGCAGCAGCAATGGGCGACAGTCTATGCTCCTTCCATGCCAACGATACCCGCTGGGCCACAGCTGGAATGGGGGTCTCCCAGCTTCCCTTACCTCCCTCCCTTGGAAGGCAACAGGCGATGGCTCAGTCTCTGTCCCAGTGTAGCCTGGCAGCCGGCCCTCCTCCCAGCTCCAGTTGGGTTTGTCCAACATGGGCTCCAATGGCACGGGGCTGCAGTCACACCTCTACCAATCCGCCTTCCCCGGCATGGTGCCCACCTCATTGCAGGGTCCCGGCAACGTGTCGGGTTCCCCGCAGCTCTGCAGCTCTCCGGACAGCAGTGATGTGTGGAGGGGAACCAGCATTGCCTCCCTACGCCGCAAAGCACTTGAGCACACAGTCTCCATGAGCTTTACTTAATACCCTATCCCCCCCCACTGTCTACCCACCACTGTCTCTCCACCCAGTCTATCCTGGACTCTCCAGCAGAGGCAATGCTAAGCCAGTGATCGCAGCCTTTCACCAATAGACAGGTGATTGCATTTCCCATTAACCAGGGATGTCTTGAGGCTCAGATCAACAGCAATCATAAGCAGAGTTGAGCCTCAGAGTTCCCTGCAGGTCCCGTTCAGAACAATCATTCAGACATTGAACAGTCATAATGGTTTTCTGCCTTGGTTAAATGTCATTCTTGTAAATGCCAATAAAAAAGAAGTGTGATACAGTATAATATATTGACTGTCAAACCATAAATGTCCATATACAAAAATGATCTGACATCTGTATACCCACTTGTTGGAAGAGTAGAAATTGGTATGATGAGGAGGAGATCTGGGGACATATTTGTTGCATTGAAAGTAATGCTTCTGTGTCCCCATATCTCCTTCTGATTATACATTTCTCTTATCAATAAAAAGAAGTGTCCCTTTATCTGTTTCTGTGCCAGGGTTACAAATATGCCTCATTTGCTGCTATCACTAGGATTTAATATATATGAGAATTCCTCATTTAATTCTTGGAAATACTGAATCAGAAGGCAAACACAATTAATTGTTTTCGGACTGTTTATCAAAATGATATACAAGGAAAGTTGTATTACACAAATATGCACAGCAATTTACAAGTATATTAATTATTAAAGATTCTCAAATTTAGTTCTTAAAGCCCAACTCCAGGAATTAGAAAAAAATCTACCTTGCAAGAGTTAAATGCTCATTATGTCTAGGGGGCCAGAATAAGGAGAAATACTTACCTTAACCCATGCTCCAGCAAGGTCTCTCAAGAGATGTGACAGGTCTACCACAGTCTCCACTCTAAGCAGCTCACAGCCATTGTTGCACACTTGCCCCCGCTAATTACAATGTAGGGTTAATAGTCCTGCATTGTATGTAATGATTAAGAGGGCCCACCCACTGAGTGGAACTTCAGGCAGAAGAGGGCAGCACTGAGCTGGCTGGAGTAGGGGATAGGTAAGTCATCCTGCCTGTCCTGTACCCCCTAGACATACCCCCTAAGCATTTACTTCTTGCAGAGCGAGGGGGCCCACCACTATGGTAGATTGTTTTCTGCTTCCCAGAGATGAACTTTAAAATAAATGCAAAAATACAACTTCAGCCTTTAGTTTTGAATATAGTTGGGAAAGTTGGAACCCCGTGTTTTTATATTGTTCTCTGCATGCCTATTGGAAAGATTTGTTTTTTCACTTGATGTCCCAGGAAGTCTCATCAACAGGACAATAAGTAAGGCAAAATCTATCCAACAAGGACACAAAACAAGAGAAACAATATTTCTGGGATGGCTGGAACCTTTTTTTTGCTGTTTGTTTATCCTGCTAGAAATATCCCTTTGTTTTCTGGCCCAGTGAACATGTCGCCAGAACAGGAAATGAGGGGAAATCTATCAAACACCTTCAGACAGCACTAAAAACTTGAAAGATGATTCAGTCCTGTCCCACTTGGCCAAAACAGAAACAAAACAAAGCACAAAATGTTTATTGGAGTAACTGAACTATCAATTTATTAATACGCAGAATAAAAGGTTTGTGGCATTGTATTATTTCCCATGATAAGGAGTGAGCATGTGTAAACATGGAGGAGAACATGAAGTCAGATTACTTTTATATATGATAGTGGACAATGCGGTATACTCTGGCATATTGTAAACCTATTAAGTTAAACAGTGTAATGCGTAACGGTGTGCTGTAATCCATAGTAGCCAATCAGAATTCAACATACTTTAACTAAAGTGAACTGTGAAATGTAAGATGATTGCTGATTGGTTGCTACGGGTAAGTTTGCCTGTTTAAAGGCAGTACTACCAGTAAGAAGATTAACTGACCTTTCTGATCTTGGCATAAAGGTGTACCCCTGTGACCTGTCATAACATTGCACTCCAACATGGGTGACGTTGAATGTGGCATAGGTGGTGGAGGGATGATTTATTTCTGATTAGATGCAGAGATTGTCTAGAGTACTGGAACATTTCTGTGAATCTTTGGTCACTTTCTGACAAGCTCAAGGAGGTCAATAAACTGCCAATATTAAGGCATATAATGCCAGTTTTACTGTACACCATTGCACTTTGTACTATCATTATGTTATTTCAATGCCTAGTTGTAATATAAATGGCCAATTAACACCTCTAATATTGTATTATCAGACATGATCCAACACTTACTCAGCCATCCTCTTTAATTGTTTTCACTATCGCCATCACTTTGAGCTTTTAAAATACATTTCTAAGCACAATATTACTTCCCAAAATAATTCTGTTTGTGTTGTGGACATATCACTGAAATACCCTTCTGTCAAAGAAGAAACCAGGCCGTTTTATAAGCATTTTTATTTATTTCAGCTGTAATACTTTATTATTCAGTCTTATTTCCTTTTTTCTAAAGGCAAGCAGCACTTTTCTGATGATTATTTGGCAGACTGCTGTTTTCAGTCCTTCAAAAGCATTGCTGATACTACTTTTCCCTGCGGGTTCAGCGGGGCACGTGGCGCCCAGGCACATGTAAATTTTCAACCCTGGACTTTGTACAGACAGCCAATCAGCTTTTCTGCATGTGCTGGTTCAAAGATCAGAGGCTATTTCTAAGAATGAACAAAAAAAAGTTGTGAGATAGGATGTTTTGTGTAGATAAAGCATTCTTGTTACATACTGGTCAGTTTGTGATATGGTTTAACTTATTGTCTGTGCTTATTTATTGATTTTTGGGTTTATTTTTTTCTTAAATGTTTAAGCTAATATGAAACATATGATTTGAAATTTTCTTGACAAGTTTATATCAATTTAATGTAAATGGATAAATAAAATCATTTTCAGTATGTGAGCTGGAGAATGAGTCATTATATCGGTATACAAATTCCCCATATGTGTTTTTCTTTACATACATTTATTGATAATTAAACTTTTATTCATAAAATACAGTTGCTGGTTAAGGAAAGGGTGGGCCTAATTTATCAAAGTGTCTGAAATAAGATCTGTCTGTGTTGTTTCAGAAGCAGCTGCTCAAATTCATGCCTACGTTGCAGAATGACAATTTGATTGTGAATTTTTTATTGGACTATATAGACATCTTTTACTGCAGATACTTTGATAAAACTATATTTGTCTTCATTTCACAAAGCAAAGATGTGCCCTATTTGAGAACTGATTTGTAAATACAGGAAATGTGGAAAATACTATGTAAAATTAAAAATAATGAAAAATACAAATTTTGGAATTTACTATAGATTAGTCCAATAAATGGACTAAAAGGGTGCTTAGTTTTTTTGTTCCCACCTGTACCTTTTTGTTTATAGTAGCTGTGCTATGTTGGGTAAGCCTTTAACCAATTCAACATACCAATAGGGGTTCCTTTACTTAAACTGGAGAGTGCAAAATCTGGTGAAGCTGTGACTGATAGCCAATCAGCTTCTAACTTCAGCTTGTCCAATTAAGCTTTGACAAAAAAGCTGGAAGCTGATTGGTTTTCTATGCACTCTCCTGTAAATCAACCTCATAGATTCTTTCAAAGATTGAATCAGGGTAAAAGTACACTCTACAAACTTGAAAATTGTCCGTGTAAACAAATTCAGTATATGCGGTCATTGCTGACTACATGGATGTTATTTTATGCTGGTGATCATCTTCTGAATTAAGCTGACACAATAGCTACATTTCTATACTTATCAATATCCTCATCTTCTGAATGGTCCTGAATCTGTGCGTACAAAAATAAAGGATTTTGTGTTCCATGGTGCTTGAACATTGCTTTCTCTCTGAGCCAACAGCTTTGCTCACACACAATGGACCATAAAAGGGAAGCTGCTTAGTACATACCTGCACAGTAGCAAACAAGGATAAAAAATAAATAATCCAATGCTCAGATTAAGGATAAATGGAGTGGACTTTCGATTGTAGTGCAACAATGCTTCCAAGATAGCAAAGTAGTGTATCAATTAATTTATAGTGTTATTAAACCCAACAACAAAAAAATCATACATTGCAGTTTACCGACCCTTAGATGTGGTGGCTGAATTATTATAATTTTTTTAGGCTTTTGTTTTCTTTATCTTCCCTTGGTGAGCCAGTAAGTAACACTCCACTGGAGGAACAACAGAAACGCCTCAGGAAAGCAGCATTGTGAGCCTGGGGAGTGTTAAGCTGGGTATACACTAGCAAAATTTTGTTTGACATTTTTTTGAGTTTAGAATGTCCTAAGAACATTTGTTCATTTTTTATCTAATTATTATTGGGGTCAAATCAATGTTTGTTGTCAACATCAATGACGAGAAAATTCAATTTTCTTAAAAGTACCCGTTTTCTAACAGTGGATGTGCATTCATTCCAAAATCAAATGTTAAAGCAAATGAAATCTTGAACTACTTTTGAACGACATTCAAATGCACTGAGAATTTTCATATGAATAGTCGTTCAAACTTCTGATAGTGCATATTCAGCTTGAGATGCACTGGTGGATTTAGATGGACTTGACTAACAAATTAAAGCTGAACTCCAGCTAAAACATTTAGGCAGTTATGACAACATGTCTTTTTTTTCTTGTTGGGATAAAGGATCTACATACGCCAGTCAGCCTTAATATTATGACCACCAAAAGGTAAACTGAATAACATTCATCTAATCTCATGACACTTGAAAGTGGGTGGAATTTATTATGCAGCACGTGAACATGTCCCTGAAGTTGATGTGTTGAAAGCAGAAAAATGGGTAAATGTAAGGATTTGAGGGACTTTGACAAGGGTCAAATTGTAATGGCTACACAACTGGGCGAGAGCATCTCCAAAACTGCAGCCCTTGTGGGATAATCCTGGTCTGAAGTGGTCAAACCCAACAAAAATGGTCCCAGGAAGGAAAACTGGTAAACTACCAACAGGATTGGTGATAAAGTGGCCAAAGCTCATTCATACACGTGGAGA